GGGAAAGAGAAGTGTGGGATTTAGACAGCTGCAGCAAGGGAGTGTCAGATGTTTAAAGGGGATATTAATAAAATGGTTTTATGAATACTGGGTGATATAACACATTCCTTTTTATTCCCAAGAAACCTTCAGAGAAAAAATGACCTAAGACAGGTGTGACCAAGATAGTGGAGTAGGAAGACACTGAGCTAACCTCCTCCCATGGGCACACCAACTAGTTACAGAGCAACTATTAATGAGAACGACCTGAAGACTAGCAGAAAAGATTTTCTTGAACTAAAGATATAAATAAGGAATCACAATGAGATGGATAGGAGGGACAGAGATGCAGTATAGTCAAGACCCATACCCCTGGGAGGTCACCCCCAAATGGAAGGATGATCACAATTGCAGAGGTCCTCCCCAAGGAACAAGAGGTCTGAGCCCCACATCAGCAGGGTATGCACTGGGAAGACAAACCCTCAGAATTTCTTGCTTTGAAGGCAAGCAGGGCTTGCACATAGGAGGGCTAGAGAGCTGTAGGAAACAGAGATTCTGCTCTTAAAGAGTGCACAAAAAATCTCACATGCTCTGAGTCTCAGCACAGAGGCAGTGATTTGAGAGGAGCCTGAGCCAGACCCACTTGCTGACCTTGAAGAGCCTCCTGGAGAAGAAGGAGGCAGTTGGGAACATCCCTGGGGACAAAAACACCAGTGGCAGCTGTTTGGGGAGCTCATTCTACCATGAGGACACTGGTTTTGGCAAATGCCATTTTGGAGTTCTTCTTCTAGTCTATTAGCTCTGGGAGGTTACCCACCCACCAGTGGGCTGGTACCAGCCCCAGGGCCCTCATAGACCCACAGCCAGCTGCCCCAGGACCTGGCTCTGTGCACAAGTGCGCCAACAGTCACAAGGCAGAGTCGGCAGTGAACTGGGCTGGGGGCCAGCCTCACCTACCAACATGCCCACAGTAGTCAGTCCCACCACAACAGAACGGCCCACACAGCATACATAGGGGGTCCACCTAGAGCATGTAGCTCTGTTGATCAGAGGAGAGTGTGCTGCTGGGTCCCACAGGACAGCTTCTCCAAGATCAGAACATGTAACCAACTTACCTAATGCATAGAAATAAGCACAGAGAAATAAATACACACAATTTGAGGAGAGAGAGGAATATGTTCTCAACAAAGGCACAAGACAAAACCTCAGAAAAAGAACTAAATGAGGTGGAGAAAAGCAATCTACTTGAAAAAGATTTCAAAGTAATGATAATAAATATGTTCAATGAACTTGAGAGAAGAATGGATAAACACAATGAGAATTTAAATAAAATTAGAAAATATAAAGAAAAACCAAACAGAGCTGAAGAATACAATAACTGAAATAAAAAATTCACTAGAAGGAAGCAACAGTGGATTAGGTCATACAGAGGAATGGATCAGCAAACTGGAAGACACCCAAGCTGAACAAAAAATTAAAAAAGAAAATAATTAACAAAAAAATGAGTGTAGTTTAAGAGACCTCTGGGACAACCAAAGTGTACAAATATTTGCATCATAGGGGTCCAAGAAGGATAAGAGAGAGAGAAAGCATCAAAGAACTTATTTGAAGGAATAATAGCTGAAAAGTTCCCCAATCTGGGAAAGGGAACAGACATCCATGTCCAAGAAGCACAAAGAGTCCCAAACAAGATGAACCCAAAGCAGTCCACACCAATACACATTATATTAATATGGCATATATTAAAGATAAAGAGAGAATATTAAGAGCAGCAAGAGGAAACAAATAGTTACACACATGGGAACTCCCATAAGACTGTCAGCTGACTTTTCAGTAGAAATTTTGCAGGCCAGAAGGGAGTGGCACCATATATTCAAAGTGATGAAAGGATAAAACATGCAACCAAGAATACTCTATCTGGCAAGGCTATCATTCAGATTTGAAGGAGAGATACAAATTTTAAGACAAGCAACAGCTAAAAGAATTCAGCACCACTAAACTGGCTTAACGAGAAATGTTAAAGGGACTTCTCTAAGGGGAAAAGAAAAGACCACAGCCAGAAATATGAAAATTATGAGAGGAAAAATCTCATTGGTTAAAGCAAACATACAATAAAGATAGTAGATCAACCACTTATAAAGCTAGTAGGAAGATTAAAGACAAAAGTAGTAAAATCATCTATATCCACAATAAGTAGTTAAGGGATACACAAAACAAAAAGATGTAAAATATGATGTCAAAAACATTAAATGTGAGGAGGGGGCAAATAAAAATGAAGGGTGGTTAGAATGTGTTCAGACTTAAGTGGTCACCAACTTAAAAATAATCACATGTGGGACTTCCCTTTGGTGTGGTGGTTAAGAATCTGCCTGCCAATGTTGGGGACACAGGTTCGAGCCCTGGTCTGGGAAGATCCCACATGCCACAGAGCCCATGCACCACAACTACTAGGCCTGCACTCTAGAGCCCGTGGGCCACAACTACTGAGGTTGCATGCCACAACTACTGAAGCCTGCGCATCTAGAGCCCGTGCTCCACAACAAGAGAAGCCACTGCAGTGAGAAGCCCTCACACTGCATCGAAGAGTAACCCCCACAACCCGCAACTAGAGAAAGTCTGCATGTAGCAATGAAGACCCAACGCAGCCCAAAATAATCACATGTGTATGTATATATAGTTTGCTATATATAAGCCTCATGGTAGCCACAAACCAAAAAAATCTCTAATAGATACACATGAAAAAAGAGAAAGGAATCCAAACATAACATTAAAGGCAGACATTAAACCACAAGGGAAGAGAGCAAAAAAGAAGAAAAAAGAACTATAAAAACAACCAGAAAACAACAAAATGGCAATAAGTACATTACAGACCAATATAACTGATGAACATGGATACAAAATCCTCAACAAAATATTAGCAAAGAGAATTCAACAATACCTTAAAAGGATCATACACCATGATTGAGTGGAATTTGTGCCTGGGATGCAAGGATGTTTCAACATCAGCAAATTAGTCAATGTGTTACATCACACTAACAAACTGAAGAATAAAAATCATATTATCATTTTCATAAATACAGAAAAAACTTTTGACAGAATTCAGTATCTTTTTATGACAAAAACTCTCAACAAAGTGGGTATAGAGGGAACATATGTCAACATATAAAGGCCATATGTGACAAACCCATAGCTAACATCATATTCAGTGGTGAAAAGGTGAAAGCATTTCCTCTAAGATCAGGAACAAGAAAAGGTTGCCCACTCTCACTCCTTTTATTCAATGTAGTATTGGGAGTTCTATTCAAAACAATCAGACAAGAAAAAGAAATAAAATATATCCAAATTAGAAAGGAAGAATTCAAACTGTCACTGTTTGCAGATGACAGGATACTATACATTGAATATCCTAAAGAAGCCACCAAAAAACTATTAGAACTAATAAACAAATTCAATAAAGTTTCAGGATACAAAATTAATACACAGAAATCTGTTGCGTTTCTATATACTAACACTGAAATATCAGAATGAGAAATTAAGAAAACAGTCCCATTTACAACTGCATCAAAAAGAATAAAATACCTAAGAATAAACCTAGCCAAGGAGGTAGACAACTTGTACTTGGAAAACTATAAGGCACTGATAAAATAAATTGAAGGGGACACAAGCAAAAACCAAAATATAGCATGCTCACAGATTGGAAGAATTAATATTGTTAAAATGACCATACTACCCAAGGCAACCTACAGATTCAATGCAATCTATCAAAATACCAAAGGCAATTTCACAGAACTACAACTAATAATTCTAAAACTTATACAGAAACACAAAAAACCCCAAATAGCCATAACAATCTTGAGAAAGAAGAACAAAGCTGGAGGAATTATGCTCTTGATTTCAAAAACATACTAAAAGCTACAGTAATCAAAACAATATGGTAGTGGCACAAAACAGACACACAGCTCAAAAGAACAGAATAGAGATCCCAGAAATAAACCCACACCCATATGGTCAATTAATCTATGACAAAGGAGGCAAGAATTATAGTGGGGAAAATACAGCCTCTTCAAAAAACCATGTTGGGAAAAGTTGACTGCTACATGCAAAAAAATAAAACTGGATTACATTCTCACATCATATATAAAAATAAATTCAAACTGGATTAAAAACTTAAATGGAAGACCTGAAACCACAAAACTCCTAGAAGAAAACAGGAAGCACCCTTTTTGACACTGGTCTTAGCATTTTTTAAAAAAAATTTGTCTCCTCAGGCAAGGGAAACAAGAGCAAAAATTAACAAATGGGACTACATCAAAGTGAAAAGCTTTTGCACAATGAAGGAAACTATAAACAAAACAAAAAGGCAGCTTACTGAATATTTGCAAATAATATATCTGATAGGGGATTAATATCTAAAATATACAAACAAAACAAAACAAAACAAACAAAACAAAACAAAACAAAACAAAAAGGCAGCTTACTGAATATTTGCAAATAATATATCTGATAGGGGATTAATATCTAAAATATACAAATAATTAATATCACTCAACATCAAAAAAACCAAACAACTGCATTAAAAAATGGCAGGGACCTGAAGAGATGTTTTTCCAAATAAGGCATACAGATGGCCAAAAGGCACATGTAAAGATAGCCAACATCACTCATCAAACCAAAACCACAATGAGATATCACTTCACACGTGTCAGAATGGCTATATCACAAAGACAGCAGATAACAAGCATTGGCAAGGCTGTGGAGAAAAATGAGCCTTTGTAAACTGTTGGTGGAAATGTAAATTGGTGCAGTCACTCTGGAAAACGGTATGGAGATTCCTCAACAAATTGAAAAGAGAACTACCATATGATCCAGCAACTACACCACTGGGTATTTATCCAAAGGAAACAAAAACACTTTGAAAAGATACATGTACCCTGATGTTTATAGGAGCATTATTTACAATAATAATAAAATAAAAATTTACAATAATAATTAAAAAATAAATATTTATTTATTTACAATAGCCAAGATATGGAAGCAACCTAAGTGTCCATTGATAGAGGAATGGGTATAAAAATATATTTTATATATATATACACACACACACATACAATGGAATACTACCCAGACATTAAAAAATGAAATCTTGTCATTTGGGACAACATGGATGAATATAGAGGGTATTATCCTAAGAGAAAGTCAAATATCACATCATCTCACTTATATGTGGAATCTAAAAAACAAAACAAAGAAACAAACAAAACAAAAGCAGACTCATAAAGATGTAGAGAATAAAAGGGTGGTTGCCAGAAAGAAGGGGGATGGGTAGGTGGGTGAAATGGGTGAAGGGGATTAAGGGGTACAAACCTTAAATAAGTCATGGGGATGTAATAAGCAGCATAAAGAATATGGTCAGTAACATTTTAATAACTTTGTATGGGGACAGATGGTTACTAGAATTATTGTGGTGCTAGTGGATGCAAATGTCATATCATTATGTAATACACGTGAAATTAACATACTATTGTAAGTCAACTGTATTTCAATAAAAAAGAAAAGCTATCTAGCATCCACACAATGAAATACTATGCAAAGAAGTACCAAAGAGAAAAATAAAGAATGAGAAATCTCTTTCTATATTGATTTTTGAAGATTTTGTGGATATTGTTAAATTTAAAAATAAGAGGAAGAACAGCGTGCATTTACTATTTGTGTAAGAAAGAAAAGAATATATATTTATTTGGCTTATAAATGCATTACAATATCTGAAAGGATTAACAACTGTGGTTATTATAGTGTGTGTGTGTGCGTGTGCATGTGTGTGTGTGTGTGTGCATACACATTTGGGAACTGTGTAGATGGAGGACCTAGAAAGGAGGGAGACCTTTCATGGTAAGACTCAATATATTTTTTGACTTTTAATTTAAGACTCCCAAGAAGTTGCAAAAATTGGTCAGAGTTCCCAGGTACCCATCACACAGCTTCTCCCAATGATATCATCTTACATAACTATGCCACATGATCAAAATCAGAAAACTGATGATAGTGCAGTACTATTAACGGACTGCATTTGGATTTTGCCAGTTTTTACATGCATTTTTTTTTGGTGTATAGTTCTATGAAATTTTATCATATGCAGAGATAAGTGAAAAATCCACAGCAATCAGGATACATAGCTGCTCCATCATCCCAAAGAAACTCACTCATGCTATCCCTTTGTAGACAGACTCTTCCCCCAGTACTAATCCTGGCAACTCCTAGTCTGTTCTCCATCACCATAATTTTGTTTCTTTTAGTACTTTTTGATGTTTGAACCAAGTAAATGTACTATTTTGTTAAACTTTAATAATAAAAGAGAACTGAATAACTCTTCATGCTTTTGTAGTTAAATATGTGTGTTTGTGTTTTAATGACTTGACAATTTTCAATTAGCCTTAAGGCGAGAGTGAGGTGGCTTATGCCTGTACAGGCAGGCCTAGGTTACGAAAACATTGAAGAAAGATCTCTTCCCTCCCCTCCCTTCCCCTTTCCTCCACTCCCTTCTATTGTTCCCAGGACCCAGGGATGTTTTGTGCCTGCTGCCTCTGGGTCTCCTGAGGCTCTGGGGCTCATAAGCTTGCCGGTCTGTCACCTATGCCAGGGTGGGTTAAGTACTGCCTGCCCTTAGCTCACCTTGCGCTTGGCAGAGACTTGCTCGTGGTAACGGTCAGAGGAGTCCCCAGGGATCTCGCTGGCCCACAGTGTGATACCCACTACAGTGTACGCATAGCCTATCACCAGCAGGGGGAGGAAGTAGATCAACACAGTCACACAGATGTGGTACCTGCAACAAGGTGGATGGAAGTGGTCAGTTCAAGAAATAATAGGGTTGGTCAAGCCTTTACGGTTACATTTCTCAGCATTTGCCATTAATAAGCTTTGATGATAAGGCTAGCCACCTGCATTGGATGGATGGGTGTTATGTTAATGGATAAAGTAGAGAAAGCAAATCTCTTCAACTTATGTTTTTCTTATGGACTTTTTCCATAATGGAGATTCCTATTCAGAATGAAAAGAGAAGAACAAACACTGATCAGAGGGAACTGAATCTGTTGTATACCTACGGCAATTTTAGTTGATGTTAAGTTCAATATTGCTTACCTCTCCCTCCAAAGAGAAAATGCAATCTTAGGCTGCATTAATGGAACTATATTCTCTAGAATAAAGGAGGTGATTTTACTGCTCAATACATACTTGTCAGATTTAAACTTAGGGTAAATTTTGGTGCAGGGACATAGACCAACTAGTACATTCAGATAAGAACCATCATCATGGTTAATGAGACAATCTATCCTAAATGACAAATGGCTTCACGGATATAAGCATAATTATCTTGGAGAGAGATAAGACTTATCCTAGAATTAGGATCAGTAGGTGAGAGCCACAAAGTTTAAGCTACTTTTAGGCCTGGTCCTTAAATATATATCTCCAGATGGAAGCTGTCTGGGTCTCTGAGTTACCACTTGGAGGACAGATACCAAATGATTTGAGTCTGATTGGAATATGAGAAAGAAACAAACCTTTGCAGTGTTAAACCACAGCTTTTGAGGTTTCTTACAACAGCACAACTTATCCTATTCTGTTTAAGATGAAGCTCATTGTAAGTTGGATATTTTAATAAGTTATTTGAATTTTGAGAAAGAGTATTTTTTCTCAGATGGTCTGGCTAGTTATAGGCCTTTCCCCCTGATGTGAGTTTAATGCAAAGCCTCAGCATTCCTGATAATAATAATAATAATAATAATAATAATAATAATAAGAAGAAGAAGAAGAAGAAGAAGAACAGCTAATATTTTGAGGGGTTTACTCTAGGTCACTGTGTTCATAATAACATTAATGATAGTATTAATAGCTGAACTGGAAGTTAGATTTTATTGAGTGAATAGCACAGTGCCATGCACTTTACTGGCATTATCTTCTTTAATCCTCAAAACAAATGATTAGGTAGATACTATCATAGTCCCATTTTGTAGATATGGAAACCAAAGCTTAGAATTTAATTAACTTTCTGAAATTCACAGCTGGTAAAATGAGCTGAGATTAGAACGCAGGACTGTGACCACAGAACCAGCTTATTGTCACTGGAGAAAAGTCACCCAGTGATATATATATTTTTTAATTTAATTTAATTTATTTTTTTATACAGTAGGTTCTTATTAGTTATCTATTTTATACATATTAGTGTATACATGTCAATCCCAATCTCCAAATTCACCCAACGACCACCATCAACCACCACCACTTTCCCCCATTGGTGTCCATATGTTTCTTCTCTACACTGTGTCTCTATTTCTGCCCTGCAAACCGGTTCATCTGTACCATTTTTCTAGGCTCCACATATATATGTTAATATACTATATTTGTTTTTCTCTTTCTGGCTCACTTCACTCTGTATGACAGTCTCTAGATCCATCCATGTCTCTACAAGTGACCCAATTTCATTCCTTTTTATGGCTGAGTAATATTCCGTTGTATATATGTACTACCTCTTCTTTATCCATTCATCTGTTGATGGGCATTTAGATTGCTTCCATGACCTGGTTATTGTAAATAGTGCTGCAAGGAACATCAGAGTGCATGTGTCTTTTTGAATTATGGTTTTCTTTAGGTGTATGCCCTGTAGTGGGATTGCTGGGTCACATGGTAATTCTATTTTTAGTTTTTAAAGGAACCTCCATACTGTTCTCCATAGTGGCTGTATCAATTTATATTCCCACCAACAGTGCAAGAGGGTTTCCTTTTCTCCACACCCTCTCCAACATTTGTTGTTTGTAGATTTTCTGATGATGCCCATTCTAACTGGTGTGAGGTGATACCTCATTGTGGTTTTGATTTGCATTTCTCTAATAATTAGTGATGTTGAGTAGCTTTTCATGTGCTTCTTGGCCATCTGTATGTCTTCTTTGGAGAAATGTCTATTTAGGTCTTCTGCCCATTTTTTGATTCGGTTATTTGTTTTATTAATATTGAGCTGCATGAACTATTTATATATTTTGGAGATTAATCCTTTGTCCATTGATTCATTTGCAAATATTTTCTCCAATTCTGAGGGTTTTCTTTTCATCTTGTTCGTTGTTTCCTTTGCTGTGCAAAAGCTTTTAAGTTTCATTAGGTCCCATTTGTTTATTTTTGTTTTTATTTCCATTACTCTAGGAGGTGGATCAAAAAAGATCTTGATGTGATTTATGTCAAAGACTGTTCTGCCTATGTTTTCCTCTAAGATTTTTATAGTTTCTGGTCTTACATTTTCATCCATTTTGAGTATATTTTTGTGTATGGTGTTAGGGAGGGTTCTAATTTCATTCTTTTACATGTAGCTGTCCAGTTTTCCCATCACCATTTATTGAAGAGACTGTCTTTTCTCCATTGTGTAACCTTGCTTCCTTTGCCATAGATTAGTTTACCATAGGTGTGTGGGTTTACCTCTGGTCTTTCTATCCTGTTACATTGATCTATATTTCTGTTTTTGTGCCAGTACCATATTTTCTTGATTACTGTAGCTTTGTAGTGTAGTCTGAAGTCAGGGAGTCTGACTCCTCCACCTCCGTTTTTTTTCCCCTCAAGACTGCTTTGGCTATTCAGGGTTTTTTGTCTCTATACAAATTTTAAGATTTTTTTGTTCTAGTTATGTAAAAAATGCCACTGGTAATTCGATAGGGATTGAATTGAATGTGTAGATTGCTTTGGGTAGTAGAGTCATTTTCACAATATTGATTCTTCCAATCCAAGAACATGGTATATCTCTCCATCTGTTTGTGTCATCTTTGATTTCTTTCATCAGTGTCTTATAGTTTTCTGAGTACAGGTCTTTTACCTCCTTAGGTAGGTTTATTCCTAGGTATTTTATTCTTTTTGTTGAAATGGTGAATGGGATTATTTCCTTAATTTCTCTTTCTGATCCTTCATTCTTAGTGTATAGGAATGCAAGAGATTTCTGTGCATTAATTTTGTATCCTGCAACTTTACCAAATTCATTAATTAGCTCTAGTCACCCAGTGATATTTTCTCTCACTATTTATGCTTATTTTCTGCAATATTTTTTTCCAAAAAGGAAAACCCACTTACTCACTCAATTTCTCCTTTATCAATAGTTTGTTTTCAATCACTTATTTGCAAAGCCCCACAGTTTTACCACTTATTCTGCCTCCTCTGAACGCTAAAATTTGAAACTTGAAGAAACTTGAAGAGTTCTTAAAGTAACAAGCCACAGATTCAGCAAAGCAGGGTGTTTAGTGCAAGCTGTTATATACAGATTGGCTGTTCCATGCGGACAGGCTGTTCTGTGCAGACAGGCTGTTCCATGCAGACAGGCTGTTCCAGTCTTACCAGACTTTCAATGTTCACTTTGATTGTCTCCTCTAGAAGATTTCTTGGGAGCCTCAGTTCTCTAGTCACCACAGCAGTGACTGCATACTGGTTTCCTACCTGATCTCAGTCCCTCTTCCTAATTGCTGTATAGATACTGATTGAAATCAAAATGTTTGGAGACTATGGTGTCAGGGAGACCCTGGGACCGCACCTACTTCTTCTATCTGTAAGAACAGCCCTCCCTTTTGAAGACCAATACTTACTTGGAGATAAAAACATGTTAACTGAGCTTTGTGGGGTCTTTCCTTCCAAGCACTGAGCATCTTTTTGGAGTCAGGGATGTGATGGGAGAATACTGCAGTCAAGTCACAGATGCTTCTTACCTTGGACCAGTGTTTCTCAAAATTAAACCAGCCTCAGAATCACCTAGAGGGCTTGTACAAATATGGAGGGCTAGGCCCCACTCTGGGACCCACCCAATTTCCAACTTAGCATGTCTGAGGTAAGTCTGAGAATCTGCATTTATAACAAGTTCCCAGGTGATGCTGCTGCTGGTTCTGGTTCAGACTTTGAGAAACACTTAGACCACTGGTTCTCAAGCTCAGAATCACATGAGAAACATCGGGGGAGATTTTTAAATAATCAGTGTCCAGAGATACTCATGTAATTGGTCATGAGTGTGGGAGCAGAAAACCGCAGTTTAGAAAATTTCCCAAGCCATTCTGGAATACAGCTGACATTGAGAATCACCCTTTCAGATCCAAGGCCTACAAGCCTGTTGGAACTACTATATTGTTGTCGGAGATTTAATGACATCACTAAAGTATGTATTAATCATATTTTCTAGTCTCTGTATCTGATACTTTGACATCTTGGGTCTTGCTGATGAATCTAGGAGGGACTGCCTGTCCAGAGCTAGCTAACTCCTAGAGATAACTCTTGCTAGTGTGATTTCATATGCAAACTAAACAACCCAAGGCCCCTACCTGCCATCTATCTGCTTTTTCGGGGCTCTTACACTACAGGATACTATCTTCCTGCCCCAATCACCCCAGGGCCACCTCAGACATCTATGGGCAGCCCCTACACTGGAGCCCACTGAAATGATTCAAACAAGAAAATGCTAGGCCTCTTTACCCTGCCTCACTGGTTGCTTCCCTCAAAAACATAGTAAAAGACTTTCCTACAGTTTCCCCATGCTCTCTGCCTGTGACCCTCTGTAGGGTGGTGTGCGCCTTCCTCTTGGGAACTATGAGTAATAAACTATCTTTTCAATGGAAATAATGTCCTGATCTGTTGGCCTCACTATACCTGAATTCAAAAAATGAAATCTATACTTTAAAACAAAGGGCTCCAGGGAGATCAGCTCGATGCTTTGTGACCACCTAGAGGGGTGGGATAGGGAGGGTGGGAGGGAGACACAAGAGACAGGGGATATGGGGATATATGTATATGTATAGCTGATTTACTATGTTA